GCTTGATTTCTTCATTCCGAAACACTTCTCATCTGGTAAATGAGAGGATGATTTCTATGTCCTCTCTGTGTAAAGCAGACTTCTGCTGGTGTGCTGTTTTTTCTCAGTGCTGTGAAGTAGGTGGTTTCTGGAGATGAGCTGAAGAAGGATGGGGGGTGTTTGTCTGCTGCGGGGAAAGGGCAGAGAGTTTGCCAGTTCTGGAGAAGGCTGTTCGTGCTGTTGGGCAAAAGCACAGGCTGCTTGGGTGCTTGGCTATTTTTATAAACACTCCCCATTAGTCATTTTTCCTGTAGGTAAGAGCACATGTCACTGTAGTGACACTCCTAAAAGGTGTCATTGCCTAACTTGACCCAGTGCTGCCTGACATCTGGTCTCTCCCTGGGTGTCCCTGTTCGTCAGCAGGTGCGTCACGGCGTGCCGGAGACGTGTTGTCATCGGGGCAGAAACGCATCCTCAGCTCCTGCACTCGCTCTGCTGGCTCGTCATGCAGTAGGAAAGGGCTTGGCAAGAAAGAGTTTCTGTTCCAGGCAGCGTGTGTGCACTGTTCGCCTGGCTTGCTGTTTCCCGTTGTTTTAAAAGCAATGCCTGTAGGTGAGGATTATAAACTGCTGGTATGTGGGTGATGAAGGTGCAGTGCCTTAACATAAGAAGTGGAAGTGGCAGTAGTTGGTTGGCAGCTCTCTCATTCCACCCTGCAAAAGCATCTGAAGTTCAAACCTTTGGGGGAAAGGAATTATTTTCCGAGCAGCCTGTTTCCCTTGCAGGTAAAAGTTCATGTTTTGAATCATTTGAAGCCTGAGGATCTGAGATTATTATTTAGGCCTGCCTCCCACATAAATAAAGCCAATGTCTTACATCTTCAGAATCAACAACAACAACAAAATCCCTAAAGAGGCAGCCAGAGAAGGTGAGGACAGTGTGGCTTTCAAAAGAAGGATCAATGAAAACATACATTTCTGCAAGTATTGATGTAATCTGCAAATGATCAATTTGGAATTATGCCCCTTCAAATGGGGGGCAGGCTGGGAACACCAGGTCTTCAAACAGCTGGGGGAGAAGGTGAGGAATAGGAAAAAGGGGGAGCAACGAGTGAGGAAAACATAGCTGGAAATCAGCAAGAAGTGAATCTGTTAGAATGATTTAAGGGATAAAAGCATATGGTTCAAGAACTTTATGAAATATCTTTGTTATCAAAACGGAACACCTAGTGGAAGAGCTGTCAGTGGTAGCAGTGGAAGAAGTCAGGGATGTTATTGTTGTATTTGCTGTGGAAAAGCTTCTCAACTTCCACTCTGGAAAAAACCTCCAAATCCCTCACAATAAAAAAAGAGAAATTATGCTTGGGAATGGATTGGAAACATGGGCCTGCCCAGAGCAGGGGAAAATCTTTCCTATCCTGTGTTTGTGGGGGGGGAATTTCCCTCAGTAGGATATCTGGTGTGTTAAGAGGGGTTAGAGTTGTTAAAAGCTTGGAATGATGTAGAGAGCATGCTACTGTTGTAATCCCAATTGATATTCAGAATGCCTGTAATGAAATATCTGACGTTGGCTATAACACAACAAATATCTGATATTGGCTGTCTTAAGTAAATAGCATTACAATATTTCCCCTGTATTGTACACTGTTTTTTATGTACCAATTTTTTGAAAATTTGATGCAAGATACAGCTTTGGACAGCTGTGCTTGGCAAAAGCATGAAGTGCCTTGTAGCAAAACTGGCTTATAAACAAGGTTGATTTAGAAAGTTCCAGCAAGATCAAAGAAGGCTAAAAATGATTATTTGCCCAAATAGAAATGGTTGTTCCTGGAAACCAGTCCCCTCAACTGAAATACCACTTGGACCAGATGTTGAGGGTATTGGATACTACAGAGTTATCTTGTAAGTCGTGGGCTGAGGATGCCAAAGTGCAAGCAGTTGGATTATGTTAATGTTCTGCTGCTGCCCTGTTGATAGTGCTGATTTAAGAATGTGCTTTCATAAAACATAATTCATGGTATAGTAGCATGTTTAAGGGTAGGCAAATATTTGCTAATCAAGACTTCCCTTTCTTTCTATGTTAACTAGTTAATCATGATGTAAAAATTCTTGCTTGTTCCATAAGCAGTTAAATCTTTTTTCAGTATGTTTGGTGTGTGCAAGTAAACTTCATCTGTTTCAGGTAATTAGCACTGCATTAGCACGACATGGCAACTGGTGTTTAAACACAAGGTAATTAATTGTGCAGTGTAAACACAGTGTGCTAAAGAGCTAACCAAACCCATGAATTTCTAGCTGATCAAAAATAACACATTAGAAATGTTATTTGGGGGTGGGCAGAGTAGTTAATATTTTTCTGCTGTGTTGCTAGATTATCGATGCACGGTTGCTGCCAAATGGGCAGAAGAGAAAGGGTCAGTTGTTTCAGGCTAATGGCAACAGCATCGTCTGCAAGTGCAGCTCTTGTGTGGTGGGTTTTTTTAGTTTATTTTTGGTTTTTTCCTTCCTTAGTGTATAGTGGTGTAATTGCTCAATGACCTGGTAGGTGTGTATGGTTTTTTGTTCTTTCAAATTTTGGTTTGCTAGTCTTGCAATGTTACAACTGGCACAAAATGTTAGACATGTTTGATAGCTGATGGTCCAGCACCAGGGAAGTGGAAGTTGAGTTGGATACATATCTTATCCAGTAGTAGTCTTTTTTTCCCTCCCCAAAATAAATTTGGGTATATTTGTCTAAACAATTGGGAAATTTGCAATTTGAACTCTGTGAAATAGAGCTGTGTCCATAGGAAGCATGGATTCTGCATGTTGCTGGTTCCCAAGTATGCTAATCCAACAGGGAGATGAAAGACCAAGTTTCTTACCAACTGTAACAGTCACCAAGTTATATACACGTATAACTGATAAAGGCAGTTTGTCAGAAAAATGGTTAGTGTCAAGTGAAAGTGTGACTTAGGTTCTGGAAGCTGCTTATGGTTCTTTGAACCCAAACTGGCTCCCTGATACATGCAGCAGAACTGGGACTGAATACTGAAATTAAAATTTCTGGAGGCTTTGCATGAAGCAGGATAATAATCAGGTTGTCCTTCTGTACAACCTGATTGGGAAGCACACAAATGCTAGGAGAAGAAAGGAATAAACTAGTCAACAATGTGGGAGCCATAAAATGGGCAACTATAGTGCGTAGGAAGTTGTGGACAGATATTCATGTCTGTTCCAACATTACTGGATGAGCTGGGTAGCAAAGGTCTGCTATTTTTAAATTTTTAACCCAGATCATTTTACTGACAGGTTAAAAAATGTTTGTATGAACGGGTCTGTTAGCAAGTATAAAGGGCTACAACCTTTAGTAGGAAGCTGGTGACAAACAGGTGGCACTGGCTTGCTGTATAATACAATCTGATACCACACCTGTTTGTGAAGTGCACATTTCTTCACCACCACATAATCATTCTTCTGTACTGCTCTTCAAACGTCAGCAAAGGCCTCTCATTAATTCAGCTTGACAGTTTGATTACAGCATTTTAACAGCTTCTGAAAAATAATTCAGTTACTGAAGTGGTAAACTTGCTGTCTTGACGATGAAGATAAAGTGCTGCCTCACAGCTGGAAAGGCAGAGCTAATCTTGTAATTCCTGATCCATCTTTGTGTATGGTCACCAGTGCCTTGGTTTAAATGTGTGATATTTCCTCTTCATGTAAATATATGCTAAGTCCATTTTTATGGGTCAATAAAATGCTTGAAATAACACGTGGATATAATCGATGTAAAAAGCAGGTGTGTTAGTGTATCTATCCTGCACCGAACTGATCAGAGATCAGTGTTTCCAAAAAGTACTGTTGCTATATCGGAGAGAACAGTTGCTCTATTAAAGTGTCCTTACACATTCTTACAGCAAAGCTGCTAGCAGTAATAAATTCTTTGGGTATATATGTTATCTGAGGTAGATCTCAAATGTGGCTGTATCTGCTTAAGTCTGACTCATGTCTTTTTGACAACAGTTACTTTGATAACTGTCTGTTATTGAAGCGTCTGGAGCTACTTCATCTTGCTGTACTGTGGTTCTGCTAAAATACATTTCTAAAGGGTGTCTAGTTCTGGAATTCAGGAGGATATTAAAATTAAGTTCTGTCCAGTTGTGCTGTTTTGCCTGCAACTATTGGACTATTGTTTGTCCTGATCATTTGTCCATAGCTTGCAAAGCCTGGAAAGACAAAGACTATGTGAGGACTTTTACATACTTCTGACCTTGCTTTGAGTTTCAAACTTTGCTTTATTTAAAAAGGGGGGGGGAACCCCCAAAAACATGAGTTACTGTATGTAGAAGGAACTGAGAGTTAGGAGTGGAGAATTTCAATGTGCTGGCACGGGATGGGGTTTCTGGAACTCAGAAGTGCTTCTAGTGGGGAAAACAGGAAGGTGGCACATCAGAGATGAACTGTAAGTTCAGAACACAAGAAGTGCTGTGCTGTTAAAATTACCTTAAAAATATTGCCATTTTGTGCTGTGTGGAGACATGTTATCTAGCGAACAGTAACCTAGATCTGTAATTTTGAGCGTGTGTATCTTCTGTTTGTTGTTGTTGGATTTTTTTTCTTACCTAAAATTGTGTCAGATTTTTCCTTCAAGATCATCTGAGAGGTCTGGTAATGTTCTCCATTCCTATCCATGATTGCCAATTGTCCTGAACACGTTTTTTCCCTTGTCCTCCTTTGAATCTGTTCTTGCATTCAATGATACTAAAAATGAGGTAGTTACGCCCTTTACACCTGCTTATTAACTAAAATATAGATATGCTTTAGTCAATGAAATAAGTCTACAATCAATTTCTGTAGTAGGAGTCCATAATTTGACTAGACACTTTAAATCCACTGAGATAAAGGGTGTCCAGTGTTTTAATCTTCAACTGACTGGCCTGTTGCCTATAACCCATCTCTTATGTTTGGCTTAATGCTTGAAAATAAGGATGTTTGAGGGAAAAAATGCATTTAACATAGTATTACATTTTCTTCACAGACTCTGACACATCTCTGGGACCTGCAATGACAAGTCAGAACAGTAGCCATGCAGAGAAAACTGGTGAAATGTCCTCAAAGCAGTCAGCGCCAAAAGTGCAGGTCCAACGATCTGTCTCTCGAGAAACCATCACTATTCATTTCTCTGCATTTGGGAAGGAGGAAGAAGAGGAGGAAGAGGAGTTTAAGGAATTTCTTGATGAGGAACTAGATGACCAAAGCATTGTAACAGCACTTGAAGCCAAGGAAGACCTCTGCTTTGAGCATACCGGCCATGATTTTTCTGGTCCAGCTACCTCGCTTAATGTGGCCAACTCTGCATCACTACTGTCCTCATCACCTGCAGTTCTGCCAACTGCAGAGACTGTAAAGCTGTTGGATTCTCCTTCCATGTCCCAAGTATTCAGTGCAGTGCCACTAGTCCTGTCTCCATCACACTCATGTCATACAGTTAGCGTATCAGGTGCATCACCACCTGTGGAACAGAAATCCAGCCTGTCATCTTCCCCGTCCTCATCCCCATCCAGATCAGTTGTTTGCTCTAGTGGATCATCCACAGTTTCTAGTTCAAAGCCTTTTAAGGGTTTAGTTAAGTCCCTTTCAACAGATGTGGAACCAAAAGAACCCACCCCACCGATGCGACATAGACAGCTAATGAAAACCTTAGTGAAATCTCTGTCTACAGACACTTCCAAACAAGAATCTGAAGCTGTGTCTTACAGGCCACCTGACTCAAAACTGAACTTGCATCTGTTCAAACAGTTCACTCAACCTCGAGCTACAGGTGGCGATTCTAAAACTGCCCCCTCATCTCCGTTAACATCTCCCTCTGACGCTCGTTGCTTTTTTAAAGTACCTGAAATGGAGGCTAAAATTGAAGATACTAAAAGACGCCTTTCTGAAGTAATCTATGAGCCTTTTCAGCTGCTCAGTAAAATAATGGGTGATGAAAGTAGTAGCCACAGGCCCAAAGCCTTATCTTCAAGTGCTTCAGAACTCTCAAACCTTTCCAGTTTGAATGGCCATTTGGAAAGCAATAACAACTACAGCATTAAGGAAGAAGAATGTGATTCTGAAGGGGACTTCTATGGAAGCAACTCTAATTTGAGTAAGAACGATCAGGCAAAAGTGGCTGAGGAACGTGTGAAAGAGACAGAGACCAAAATCTCTCAGTCTGCAAGCACAAAGGACGTGAGTTCGAAAACTTCACTCGTACTTGAAAAATGTTCATTGTCTGCACTAGCAAGCAGAGAGGATGAGGAGTTTTGTGAACTATATTCTGAAGACTTTTCCTTGCTAGAGGATGAAAGCAAAAATGATAAACCCACGGAAACTTTGCTTGATCCAGAGATGACTGAGGAAAATGGTATTATGCTCAGTAGTGAAGATGAAAATAATCCATATGTGCAACAGCCTAAAATACCAGTGAAAACTTTATACTTCTTTACACTGTTAGTCTACGCTTATTTTATTATCCCTCTCCCTGGCTACTTAAGTGGACTCTTACTTGGAATGGCCCTTGGATTTATGACAGCTGTCTGTGTGATTTGGCTTCTTACTCCACGTACTCATGAATATCTCAAACTGCATAAAAGTATGAAAAAACAATGGAATACAGGAGCTCTAGACATCAAAGAACCTGAAATACTGAAGGTGAGGTCATGGTATGCTGGGCATGTGTGTGTGCATGTGTTGTTTTGGATGGAAGCAGTAAACTAGACTTATTCTGAAGGTGTAAATTAACTGAATTATCTCTGTTTGTAAATAGAGTATTGTTTTAGGGTCAGGTGGCTTTGGCAAGGGCCCAAATGATTTAGTATCCAAGAATACATAAGACTTCAGTGTCTGTAAGGATTAGTAGAAAACCAGAATTGCTTCAAAAGTAAAAGGGCAAATGGTTTTGCTGATGGATTTGAAATGATCCAGCTGAACTAGTGAGAGCAAGTAGTGTCAGAGTTTGGCGTGTAAAATAACACTTGTGCTTGAAGCTGTGTCTTGGGAGATGCATTTTGTTTCTGAGGTATTTTGCTGTCTAGGCAGCAATTTGTCTGTCTTGTCTGTTCATCTAAGCAGATTCACACGCATTGTGTTCGAGTAAAGCACAGATAGTTGGAGAGCATATGGATTCTCCTCAAACATTAGCTAATTAGAATGGGAGGAGGAGTGAGTGATGAAAGGGGTGTACTCATCAGTTATGATGTCTGTGTTTCTGCGTGCTGATATCTTAAATATTGTAGTGTATAATATGGATTACAGTTCAGTAAAACATGTCTGAGAGCTGGGTTTTAAATGAAGCTCTTAGAAAATTTATCCTCCCTCCTCCTCACCCTTCCCTATCTCCATTTCTGGTTCACAACTGCAAGTGTGTCACTTTATACATCTGGCACATTGCTGTCTGTCCAACTGTGATCCATACAACCACTCAGTTACTTCAGTGCCTTTGTGATTCTTCTTTGTCCCTGTCCTGCCTCTCCTAATCTCCATCTCTGATGAATTAAAATATTTTCCCAGTTGCAGAATTCTGAGCAATAAAGCATCTACCAGTTTCTGATGTGCAACAGAAGCATTTCAGAATTATAGTGATACAACTTTGACTTGATATCACTTGCTTATCAGAGTATTTGTGAATGCTTTCTTGTGTTTGTGTAAATATTAAAGCCATCCTGAGCTTTCTGAAGCTGCATCTCCAGTTGTGTAACAACACAAAGGTTACATGAACTTAAATTACGATGGTATTGGTTATATGCTGTAGAATCTATAGTGTATTGTCAGCTAATCTCATGTATCTTTAGGTAACTGAAAAGTTAGAGAAACGAGGTATAAAAGCCAACTTTTGCTGAATACAGGCAGCAATTGCATGCCCAGCCCTGATGCTACCTTGGTGTTCCCTTTTTTTTCTTGAATGGTATGAATTGTGGTCTTTATTTGCTGTTGGGAATGCAAATTGAACACTCCTGTCTATCCAATTGATTTACCTGCCGGTTACATGTACAAATCTTGACAAACTTTTCGTTCTGTCCTTGCTAATTGGGTGCTGAGACCCTGCATATGAATTTGCCTTGATACTTGAAAGCTGGTAGAGATCCTAATGTTCATTATTGGCTGGTGTTAAGCTGGCTCTTTGAGATGTTAGGTGTTATTCAGGAACCTTTAAACTGTATTTTAATGCTTTTATCCAGGAGATACATTTTATGAGAATGGCTGTAGGCAACAAAAGAACTGTGCAGAGAAGTCTGTATGAATGTAGATTAATGTTTTATATGACCTGATAAGTATTTCTTCCACTCATTAACATACAAAGTAATTATCCTTAACATGTAAAGCCCTATAAAAGGGGTTTTTAATGCTTCAGGACTTTAAAAACCATCTCAGTGCCCGTATTTTAGTGGAACATAATGTAATACGATTTAGCAAATTGCAAGTTATTATTCCCACCTCGTGCAACTATTTTCTATTTGCACGTGTCAAAAAGAGCACTGACAGTTTAGATCATCTGAAAAATGAGATAAAGACTTAATCTGTAACAAAACTCACATGAATATAGGAAAATCAAACTTGATGCTCTTGCATAAAAAGATGTTCTCTTTAGAACTTGGTCACGTATTCTGGCCTGGACTGTTTTCATGCCATTATGATAAATGCTATGAGTAAGATCCCTTTATGGGGCTCTAGGAGTTGGGATTCTGCCAAACTGCCGTCAAGCTATTTTTGTACAAGTATGTGTGCATTCTCCCCATGTAAATATTGTTTGAGAAGTTTGCATTTCTCTAGCTTCAAGAACTAGTGGAAAATTCCCCTCAGCAATTGCCAAAATACCTGAACATTAATACTGTCTCCCCCAAAATTGTACCTTTGCAGTGTGATAGAATCGAACGCTGTTGTGCTGGTTAGCGTGTGCTTCTGTAGATTTCTGTACATGTTTCACTCAAATGTCTTTGATACTGGAGGGAGAACATCCCCCCCAACCAGAAAATGCACACACAACCCCTCCATCTTCAGTGTATGTTTTCTTACCTTCTTATTCCCTCAGTCTTCAGTTCTCTAGCTTCGTTTTCCCTTTTTTTTTTTCCTCTGCCCACATTTTTTTTTTCTTATTCTTTAATGCATTAGTCTTTTCTAACTTCCTTATTGGCCATCTCATGTGTGCATTCCATTGTGTTGTGCTGGCTGATACAAAAGGTTTTAAGTAACAGCTAAACCAGAAATGATAAGTTTACTCTTCCCATTAGAAAGAACTTTTATGAGAAGACCATGTTGGCAGTGCCTGCTAGAGAAATGAAGCTTTTTGAGCCACAGCTGTACAGAAACAGGCGGCTTTTTACCAGCATGCTCTTCCTAAATATCACTCAGAGGATTTCATGTTTGATAGTGGCCTCTGGCAGGCAAATGTGTTTGCTGGGTAAGGTGATGGTTACTGCTGCCCACCTTAGACCTTTTTTGTGTCTTTAGATTCCCTGTCAATAAAAGCTCAGAAAAACTACATTGCATTTTTCCTCGTTTATCAAGCAAAACACTATTGAAGTGTTATAAAATAGTGGTAATGAGAGGTATGCTAATACAATTAGTGTGATCTGAGTGAATAACAGTCTTTCAAGAATTTTGGTGCTGGAGCATTTGATTATATCATTTAATGATAATGGATATTAATTGATCTGTTAATATCACTGAGAAACTCTGGGGGCAGTTATAATCCAGATTTGGGCTTGTATTGTGAAGTTGACTTCTGATTATTTATGCATTTGAAAATACCATTTTATTTCCAGACCTGGTCTGTGCCCCCAGCCCTCTGGATCGTTCATAAGGATCCCTCCCAACCTCCCCTCTCAGTTTAAGTGTTAGATACCTGAGATCTTAAACTAACATTAAAAAGTTGATACTCTACAGGGCCTGACTCTGCAGTTCTTACTCGCATGAATTATTCTATTGAACTGCAGATCAAATAAAAAAACTTGCAGCCCAGAGTCACAAAAAGAGGAAAAATAAACCAAAGTGGACCTTTTGTGTGGGTGCTAGTGTTGCACGGACCCGTGCGTTCTGCGGTGACAGAGGTGACACGCTGCACTCTGAAAGCCAGAAGTTCAGTAAAAACAGGCCAGGTCCTGTTAGCGCACGTATAGGTTTTTGAATAGTAACTGTGAGCTTTGCTATAAAAGCCATGCTGCCCAGTATTCTATCCAGATACTTTTTCAGGTTAGTTTCCAGTCTGATGGTGAGGCACTTTCTCCTAATTTCAGCTGTGAATTTAGAGCAACTGCTGACCTTTATAAATGGAGATCACAGGATCAGTGTAAATGGCAAGCAGCTGCAGAGTAGCATATGACTATGGTTATTGTCCTCCCTGAATTACTAAATTTCTTATTTTAACAACTTCACTAGTACAAGAAAGACCCATCATACAGTCACTCCTCTCCTACACAAGGAAATCCATTGTTGGTTTCGTAGTTTGGGAAAATTTATCTGTTGCTAGCATGTTATGGTAACATAACTTCCCTGTTTAGATGCATTGCAAAATGGTTTCCGTAGGCTGTGAATCTTTTGTTCCAGATTGTTTTTGCAAATAGAGGGGCGGAGGTATTTCTGCTAAAATTGTTCTTAAAATGCAGGAACTTTGGAATGAAATTTGGGGCTTCTTGGGTAACCTTCTCAAAAATGCTTTTTATGTTAAGTGAAACAATTTTCAAAATATGAAAATTGCTGAAGTGAGAAGGCAGATGGTGTTGTTTTCCCCCTTTAACACTGTTAGACATATGAGGGGAAAAAAATCCTACAGCTGGCACACATTTTCAGATTCATTAATAGAGTGAAGAATCATTGTTTGGTGAAGTATTAACATTTCACTCTCAGCCATGGAATGTTTCTCTGTGTTACAAAATAACTTGAAAATTGAGTGCAAAAAGGAAACAGTGCATCGTTAGAAATTAGGAAACTAAAAATTTATGTACAGGGTGGGTTTGTTGTAAGGCGGTATGGTATCTCTCTCATCCTGACTGTTGGCTAGGTACTGTCTGAAAATAAAATCCCAAATATTTGAATTTAAACTTCTGTATCTTTTGGGTTTTGGGCTATGCCTCAAATACATGAAGCAGACAATCTCTTCCTTGTATAGAAACCACTATGTAGGCAGCTGGTTTAGGTGGACAATATATTTATGTTCTGTCAGTTCTAGATTTTGAACATTCAGTACTTTAGGCAGCCAGAAATCATTGTTAAAAGTGTTGGACAGGTTCTTCACTCACTAATAACCTGATGGTTGTGCTACGAGAAGCAGTGTTTGCACTTCTGTTGGGTTTGTTCCGTACAGTGAGCAGGGGAGGTGGCAGGACAGAGTTTGAGAATTGTGGCAGATTATACAGCTAATCCATTTGTTTGAAGTGGAAAGCCTGGGCGCATGGTAGGGATCAGAAAAGCAGGAGGGACTTTCCAGGGCTCCTGAATGCTGAAAGTGAAGTGGGAATATACATACTGGGGGAGCAGAGATTTTGTTTTGTTTATTTTTGTCCTTTAAATGCAGCGTGTCTTGCTACTGCTGGGAAGAAGATGACAATCTTCAAAAGGACCTCTTCTCTGTTGTTTAGTTGTATAGGGTAAGGAAATCTGGCAGAAAAGCCACTGGCACTCTTATAGAAGAACCGGGATAGGAAAGGTGCTGGTCTGACATACCAGATGGATTCAGACCCCTGTGCTACCAGAGGTTCACTGGACTTGGTTAAGTCATTTAACGTAGGCTGGGCCTTGCACCTTTTTGTCACAGATGTGGCTATGGCATCTCAGAATGTGCTGGAGGATAAAATGAAACACGGCTAGAAGAGTGTTGGGTAACAGTTGTATAGCTGCTGAGAAGGTATAGCAAAGTTTGTACAGCTAATGTGTGTCCCAGGGCGTTCATGTTGTCTCGACTCTCAGCTTTTCATTTTTGAAGCTCTGTTCGTGGATTTTTACTTCTCACTATGGTACATGGCAGTCAAGAGAATGATGTGTAAATCACAGTTTTCATTGCTACATGTCCTCTGTTCAGCTCAAGTGTTAGTGTCAGAAAACTCCAGCTGGTTCCATCTCAATCAGGATGTTAAGGAAACTTTAAGTGTACTCTGACCTTCCTTCTTGGGTACCACATATACCTGGAGGTTTCCAACCCTCCTACTGAAAATAACATCATAGCTTATTACAGTTATAAAAAGGGCTTGTGTGGCTAAGCTTCATATAAAGATCCACTTTCCAAGTATCCCTTTCTCTTCGTGCCAGCTTGTGCAGTCTTTGGCTGAACC